ATCCTTGCGCCTCAGGCTCCCTAGTGATGTGATTACAGGCATGGTCCCCACTAAAATTCTTTAAATTGAGGAAAAGGAAAAACACAACTATTTTCATAACTCATGAGGCCGGGGCTGACTTGTTGAAGGGTCTTGACTGGTCAGATGCATCTCTGTTACATGCTAAGGTCAGGGAAGAGTTCAGCAGTCTCATGGGGAAGGAAAGCCACTGGAAGGTAGGGCATCTGACAACAGGAAAGAGCCCCAAATCTTTCTCTCTTTCCTTCATTGTTTCCCTTCTAAATTATTCCATGGAGAGGTCTCCTTCAGGATTGGACAGAGATGATGCCTGGAGATAGTTTATCTTGTCACAACTAGAGGGAACCTTGCAGAGGGTAGAGGCCAGGGAAGCCCAAAGTATCCTCAGTGCCTGATAAGAGGGCTCTGATAAAAAGACTGATTGAGACCTAATGCCAGAGAGGGTGCATCCCGGTAAGTCAGAACAGGCCCTCACTATGGAGTTCAGCCTGGCCTTGAATTGCCTGTGTAGGTGGCTTTGAATTTGCACCAATCCTCCTGTCTCAGCCTCCCAAGTGCTGGCATAACAGGCATGCTCCCCCATTTTATTTATTGAAATGACAACTCATGTTTTTCAAACTAATGCCAATTAGGCTTTGTTAAGCGGTTATTATTCTTTTGAAAAAAGACTAGCTTAGTTGATGTTTTAGGTAGCTTATATATTTACAGTGATGAAACTCATTCTCTAATCGGGATAATTTTGGAGAAAACAAGATCTATGAATGAAAAGGGAAACAAAAAGCATATATGAGAAGAAAGGTCATTATTCCTTCCTTTTTACAGGAGGAAAAATTTAGAGAGACATGTAATCATCAAGGAGATGTTACATGAAAAACACCAATTGAAGAGAGAAGATCTGATTTAGAAGAGGGAGGAGTCAAAGTTGTAACACCGGGAGAAATAGAAATCTTTAAATTATTTGGAAGAAACAGTGCAGGTTAGCCAAACCTGGACGAGAGATAGCAAGAAAGACAGGGGAGAAGACAGGAACCGTGAAACAGTTTTCCATACCCCAAGAGTTAGGGCACCCAAGAACCTAATGGGAATTTAATAGATGAGTTAAAAAAAATCTTTCTCAGGTCGGGTGTGGTGGTGCACACCTGTAATTCCAGCACTTGGGAGGCTGAGGCAGAAGGATTGCTGTGAGTTTGAGGCCTGCCTGGGTTATATAGCAAGACTGTCTCAAAACAAACAAGTCTTGCTCAGAACTCTACTGTATGTGATCCACTCTTATTTGGTCTTTTAAGAAATATAATTGTAATCAGAAAATATATATATGAAAGAAGTCAACAAAAATTAAGCCAAGAAGGTACATTCAGAAGTTATTTTTAAGAGTTTGATATCCAGTACCAAAAAAGAAAAGTTATTCTTGTCTTACAAGATAGTCCTTTGCTGACTTTGGAAGGAAATTGTACTGCAGGTTAAGAATAGTTTCATGAAAAGGAAGTCTCTCTGCTTATCAATAAAAGGTTCATGTGAATTTAGCACACAAAAGGGCTCTTTGATAACCATGATCTGTAAAAACTCCCCACTTTGGTCAAGACCGTCATTAGGTAACAAACTATCCATTTCCTGGTACCCTGTGGAGGGAATGTAGCAGCGAAAATGTAAAATTAGAATCTTTTTCAGCAGATATATCATAAAGCCTTATTGTTTTATACTCAGAATTGAAGTTTTAGGTAGAGAAATACTGACAGTAGAAGACTTACTATGCCAAGCATGATGGCACATGCCCGTAATCCCAGTATTGGGAGGCTGAGGCAGGAAGATCACCAGGAGTATGAGGCCAGCCTGAGCTGTATAGTGAGTTCAAGATCAGCCTGAACAACATAGTGAGATTCTGCCTGAAAAAAAAAAAAAAAAAAAAAAGACTGGCTATCATCCAAATCCAAATTCAAAAGGCAGGACTAGGAAGGAACTGATAGAAATTCAGAATCCAAATGCATTTCAAAGTGAGTATAAAGAGAAAGTAATGCAATGGAGCTGATGGATGATGTTTACGAAACATGAGAAAGTTGCATATTTGTAAAGGAAATATGTATGATAAGGAATATAATAAAGTACTCACTTTAAACCTTAAAAAGATAGAGCCACATGTAAGGAAAGAAGTGTTGTAAATTAGTGACTGGAGCTAAATATTTAGGAGAGATATTCACAGGAGAAAACATTCCACCCTGGGCTCAGATGGTCCTTCTTTGTCAACCCCTACCAACGTGTTGTATCTGCTGCGAACATTTAGGTGGAGGAAGATTCCCAAATTGCAACTGATCTCAGTCAGGAAGGTCTAGGATGATCAGCAGTGCCAGTCCTGCTTTCCAGAGATGAGACCGTGTCAAGGGCCAGTGGTCTCTTCCCAGGGTGAGAATCTCAGAGGGCTCCAAGCTACAGCGCAAGGGAGTGTGGGTGTCCTGTGTGGGTCCCCAGGATTGCTCAGAGCCCGGTGAGAACAGGACCTATACTACAAATACAGACCTGGAAAGAAATGCAGCAAAGTGCAATAGACAGGAACAGAGGAGGGGAGAGCTGCAGTGAGGGTGACGACAAGGTTATGAGGGTAACGCTTTGGGGCAGAGTTTGGTGTTTCAGGAAATGATAATACGAACCACAGTGAGGAACTATAGTTGTTTTATGTATCATACTATTAAGGAGTTATTAAACTACCCCTCAACCTCCACTTTATGGGACAATTTATCACTGTATGTTATTAAAATCAGATCATTAGTTTGAATATCAACATTTAGGAGGAAAAAGTACTCTAAATTTTAAGTTTTTAATTAAATAAGAGTGTTTTTCAGCCTCATTGCTTTAAAATTCTTGTTTTAAGTGTTTTTTGTAGTTTGCTTTTTTTTTTTTTCCTTTTTATCGGTACCAGGGATCGAACTCATGACTGCCTGATTGCAAGGCAGGTGCTTATATCGCTGAGCTAAACCTCCAGTCCCTGTAGTTTGCTTTTTATATTTTACTCTTTTTAAAATTTTTTTTATTTTTATTTTTAGTTCAAGGTGGCCTTGAATTTGTGGCAATCCTCCTGCCTCAGCTCCCTGAGTGCTGGAATTACAGGTATATGCCACCATGCCTGGAAAAATTAATGTTTAGCACTTACAAGATTGTAATGTCAAGATGATATTACCATTTTCTAAAATTGATTTAAATTCACATTAAATTAAGTAACTCAAATTCTACTGTAGAACTTTCTGAGAAGTTACATACAGATACAGGTACGTGTTCCTGTGGTTGGTAACTAGGGCATAAGTACAGCAGATAAGCTCTACCATCATACTTGTAATTTGCCAAAGTTAAAAAAGAGGATGCCCAGGTTGCCATTTGACTAACAAATGCCCCTAGATAGAAAAAAGCCATTCTCAAAAAGAAATCTTCACAGTAATGTGTGAGCACCCGTGTTTATAGCAGCACAATTTGTAATAGCCAAATCTTGAAAACAACCCAAATTCCTCATCAACCAAGGAATATTATAAGAACAAGGGAGGGTAAAAAGATATGGTATTTTTATATAAGGGAGTACTACTCAGCTATAAAGCAGGATCACATTGAGGCTTTTATAGGTAAATGGATGAGACTTGAGACCATAAGTGAAATAAATCAGACTCGTGTAAAAGCCATATTGTCTCTATAGTCTATGAAACTGAAAGAGTAAACAAGATCCAAAACTGTTCAAAAGGGAAAAATAACTGGGATAGGGAAAAGGAGAAAAGAAAGAAGAGAAAAAGAAAAAGATACAAATTTATTTACATATGCATAAAACAACTAATATGATTATACTACTAATTCTATTAGTTCTTGGAAAAGAACAGTTAACACCCACACGATTAGACAAATTTTGCATGTTTGTATCTGGTAATTCAATCAACTCTTTTGAAGGTAGCAATAGGCAATAGTATAACCATTGCTAAATTCCTATCATTTTGTTTTGAAAGCCTATGCTGTTATTGTTTTGGGGGTTTTTGTTGTTCTTGTAGTTGTTTGTATATCTCTTGTTTTTCTTTTCTGTTCCCCCCCCCCCTCTTTAAAAGAAAAAAAGAAGGGGGCTGGAGGTTTAGCTCAGCTGCATAAGCGCCTGCCTTGCAAGCCGGCAGTCCTGAGTTCATCCCCAGTACCGATAAAAAGGAAAAATACAAAAAAAAAAAAGGAAGAAAAAAGAAAAAGAAGGCTTCATGTCCTCCCTCTGCCGTAGTGTGAGGCAGTGGTTCAGATGCCTGCATCGCATGAAGAGACGGCAGTTGCCAGGGCTTTGCCGGCCCTTTAACGCCATGGCCATCGGACTCTTTCTCCCCAGGCGAACCGGAAGGCCCAGCACTGGCAGTTGAAAGTGACATGGAGGACGATCAAGCAGGACCTCAGGTACCCACAGGGCACAGCACCTGAAGAAAGAGGGAGATGTTAGACTGGCCAGGGCTCCGGAGGGGGGGATTTATTATAAGAAACTTACATCAAAGTGGTAGAATGTTTTTTTTTAAACCTTAGAAAACCATAAGAAGAGGTATGTTGATAAGAGGGGAAAAAGGATGAAAACTTTCTAAGGAGTTTACTGTGACACAACACTACCTACGCTGAGCGTCCCAATCAAGGTTTAAATATGCTAATCAGGCTTAGAGTGCCCGGATGTTTTCAATATATACCAATTCAATCCATGAAAGAAATTGGAAGAATTCTCAGGAAATATTTTTCAGAAATGTGACAAAGACCATCTGTAATCACCACATTACAAATGGAGAGTTTTTCTTAGGATATGAAAGTAATTTTATTGTTAACGTGAAAACACTCTCTAGTTTGTCTTGTAACAGTCCTTTCAAGGACACTATTTATTGATAGTACTGGGCAAGGGTTTTGCTATTCAGTAACACCTGACTGTTATCTACTCTTTTTTGGCAGGAGGAATAAAGATGAGAATTCATCACTCAGGAACTATCCTGATAGAATGTAATTGTTGTGATTGCTAAAAAGTAGAATCACCTAGAGAATAAAGGAGACGGTTTTTCCTTCATGGCCCATGGCCGGAGGAGCAACAAGAGGCCTTTGCCCGTGGAAACCTTTCGCGTGCCACAGGTGCCCCGTGGCAATTACCTGCACGTTCTGGAAGAGAAACAAAGACTGCAGCTCAAGAAATTCCTCCTTCACAGGATGTTTCTGGTGGCCAACATACAAGCAAACATGGAGAAAAAAGAAATCGCTGAGTACTACGACCAAATGTTTCAGTCAATCTTGAAGCATCACCCAGCAGAAGTGGTGACAGGGTTACTTCTCATTTACCCCACTTCCATGCTGCATATCCTCGAATCTTCCGACGGGACGCTTCACCAAATCCTTTTAGATTATTTTAACCAGGAAAAGAACGAATCAGAATTTTGGGTTCGCAAAATGAAAATTATAGTCATTTCTCATAACATCCCAACAAGACTCTTCACGCAGTGGTATGTTTCAGTAGTGAAAGTGCCAGTTTTGTATCTGGATGATGTGACACAGTCCCAGACCTTGGAAGAGGTCATCACAGATTTTTTCATTCAGACTCACAAACTGGCGCTCTACTTTTTTAGTACCGTTAAAGTGGGCATTAAAGGACAGGGTGATAACTTGCTCCAAGTTGTACCTGACCTGCTCCCCCAAGAACAAACCGTAAAGTATCTCTGTAAATGTGAAGAATTCTTAGATCCAGCAACATTCATAAATGTGTATAACAAACCCATGCATGTCACCTCGGACTCCGAGGTGATGTGGCCAGCTCCCTCCAGCTTCTAGGATTGAAAGAGAGAATATGGCTAGATCTCTTTAAGAATTTGTGCTACCTAAATAAAACTATCTCTAACATTATTCTTATTGTTTTTTCTTTTCTAAAATGATACTACTGAGCAGGGCGTGGTGGCTCACGCTTGTAATTCCAACACTCGGGCGGCTGACGCAGGAGGATCATTGCGAGTTTCAGACCAGCCTAAGTTACAAAGTGAGCTCAAGGCCTGTCCAAACTGCATAGAGAGATCTATGTCCCAAAAAGGAAAAAAAAAAAAAATGATACTCCTGGGGCCAGGGACATAGCTCAATGGCACAACATATGCCTGGCAAGCATGAGGTTGTGAGTTCAATCCCTGGTACCCCCATCCCATAAAAATAGGATACTACCATATACACAAAGGTAATATGTGCATCTGTATGTATTATGTATCTATTTGTTTTGATGTTGAGCTCAATACATTATTTTAAGGTGAATAGGTCTAATAAAATTACAATAAATTTCACTATTTTTCATAGAACAACTCATTTTTTTTTTTTTGTACCAGGGATTGAACTCATGACCTCAAGCTTGACAGACAGGCACTTATACTGCTGAGCTAAACCCTGAGCCCTCAGTATTTTTATTAATTAAATTTACTGGCATATTTAAAGTATAGACAATTAACACATTTATCATAGGGACTTTGCCTGTATATGACATATCTTAATTCCTGTTTTTTCTCTATTCCCCTACCTTCCCTTCAAGTCCTCTTCCCCTCCTTACTTACAAAAGCTTTGTTTCCATTTTTTCCTTCTTTTCTCATCAGTTTTTTCTTTTTCCCTTCTTTTCTATCCCTCCTTCCCCTTTGAGAGTTCCCCTTCCCAGTTGAGCATTTTCTTCTGATTTGATGTCTAGTGTACATTCTTGTCCTTACTTAAACTTTTGGTTTCTCGCACCAGAGATACAATGTGATATTTATACATTTATACATTGGGTGTTTGATTTTTTTTCACTCAAAGAGTATGGTCTCAAAGTGCATCCATTTACTTAGAAATGTCTCAGACTTATCCCTCTTTATGGCTGAGTAGTAGTCTATTATATTTTTTTAAAACCCATATATTCTTTATCCATTCATTGGGTGATAGAAATTTGGGCTGTTTCCAAGATTTAGCTATTACAAACTGTACTGCTATAAATGTGGGTGTGCATATATTGTTGTGATATTCGTTTCTCATTCTTTTGGGAGTATACCAAAAAGAGGTATAGCCAACTCAAATGGAACCTCTAGTCCGAATGTTTTTGAAGAATCTCCATATTTATTTCCACAGTGGTTGCACCAGTCTACACTCCCACCAACAGTGGAGAAGGGTTCATTTTCCCCCACAACTCCTCCAGTATTTGTTATAAGTAGATTTCTTGATAATAGTCATTCTTTCTGAAATGAGATGAATCTCAGCATTGTTTTAATTTGCATCTTTTGAGTGACCAGTGATGTTGAACATATTTTCATATATTTATTTGATTAACTCAATTTTTAAAGATAGGGATAGATAAAAAAATGACAAATACAATTTAGATTTTCATCTAAGTTGGAATTAAGGTTGAGTACACAGAAGACATTTTTCTCCCTATTTTAAAAGCTTATTTCTAAGCCAGGTGTGGTGGTGCATGACTGTAATCCCAGCACTCAGGAGGCCAGCCTGGGCTAGAATGTGAGTTCAAGACCAGCCTGAACTGCATAGTGAGATCCTAACTCAAAAAATAAATAAATAAATGCTTATTTAATTAAAATAATGTTTTTGTATTGGGAATCGAACTCACAGCCTTGGGCTTGCCAGACAGGTGCTTATGCCGCTGAGCTAAATCCCTGGTGAAATATTGATTTCCAAATTATTCCATGTAAGACAAACAAACTACACAGTTACTTTCTTAATTTACTTCATATTAAACTATTTTTCAGAAACTGAATAATAAATGGTTACTGGGGGCTGGGGATTTAGCTCAGCGGCATAAGCACCTGCCTTGCAAGCAGGCAGTCGTGAGTTTGATCCCCGGTACCGATAAAAACGAAAAAGGCAAAAAAAATAAAATAAAAAAAAAAAAATAAATGGTTACTGGATTAAACAGAATCTCTTAGTAGAAAGAATTTTATTTGAAAACTGTTTTCTAAAGTTAGTGAATAAAGTGCAGTTTATAAATAAAAATCTTTATTAATATACAGGAAATTATGAGACTTTGCGCCTTCTCAGACTGGCCACTCGAGTATATTCAACCCCACATGTCCTTCACATTACTCAGATTTCCTTTCATCTCTGGCTTCTAAATTCCTCCCTTTGAAAGGTTTTGAGACTGCTCCCACCTACAGAACACAGCAGGAACCAGTCCTAAAACGGCCACAGATTTGGCTCTGCCTGCTTGAATGCAAATACCTTGCTCTAAGCAGTCAGAGCAGTTTCCAGGTTATGCTCCAGGACCCAACTAATGGGTTCCACCCATGTGCCATGTGTGGTGCCTGCCCAACGCTGGACCCTGGAGCGACAGCGTGATCTTCCAATGCTGACTTCCATGTTTTTCTTGCAAACCGAAATTGAATTTACTGCTTTTCGCGCGCGCCAACATTCCCCCAATCAGCTGTCAATACGTCATTCTGCCCGCCCCTTCAAACTAGACCCACTGTCAAACTTAAAAGCTCCGGGCTTCTTTGCCTGCCTCAGAAGGATCTTGCAGTCTTTTGCAGCTCTCTCGCATCTGCAAATAAAGGCTTTAGAAAAAAATCTAACACCAATCAGCTGCCACTCCCACCTACATCAGGTGACTCCAGACTCTGGCTTTCCAGTTTCCCCTGGATTTCAAGTCAGCCCTGATGACACCGTGTGGGGCACAGATGAGCGTTTCCCATTGAATCCTGCTGGAATTACTGATCCATGAACAGCATAAGTGACTTAAGTCAGTAAATTTGGGTGGGCAATTTTGCTGCAGTCTGGAATAAAACTCCATGTGTATAAACTATTTTCATCTCTTCTTATTCATTTCATTTATTATGTACCTAATATTCATTGGGCAACTGTTAATAATTATTTACCAGTTGGACCAATCACTTCATAAGCAAAATGTGCATCTACCACAATGCCTAACATAGATCTTCAGTTGGTCCATAATAATTTCTGGTATTAGCAATACTAGTAGAAAATGAATTCATTAATCCAAAGAAAATCATTAAAAATTAGAGTCTTTTTTGGAGGAAGTTATAGGAACTATCTAAATGGCTGCTAATTTACTTAGCACATTATAATTTTTAATTTTTTTATTTTAAAAAGGGTAAAATTAAACATAACAAAACAGAACAGAACAGATCATAAGGAAATAATTTTAAGAAACACGGATTTCAAAGCAAGTCCACTGGAGATCTTCACTGTCTATCATATTGTCTCTAGTTTTCTTCCAAATAGTTGTCCCCATCTCCACATATATTGAATACATACTGAACATTATGGAACTAATCTAACCATAACAGGATGTTGAAGGCTTTTTAGGTCTTCAAGTGTAATTTTTAATTTAAAGAATTCATGAAGTCTTAGCTATGAAAATAACTAGAACATAAAGTAACCATGAACAAACTAAGCAACTTACTTTATCATTTACTAATTTTAGCAAATGTACTAGGATGAATCTATTCAAATAAAACCACCCCTTAGAGTTGTTATGTTAGGAGGATTTAAATTTATTCTAGTGATAAAACCATCACTAGAATAATTTTATGACTCATATATGGGAGGTGAATGAAAGAAAATCTAAAGGATCTTACAAATTTTAGTTGTATCTAATGTTTGATCACCAAATAGTATATACTCTAACCTAATTAGTAACATTAATATTCAACTTTGATTTGTAGAGCATTTGTTTGAAAAATTATACTCACTTTCGTGTCACAGGCCTGCGACTCAGGAGGCTGAGGCAGGAGGATCATAGCGAGTTCAAGACCAGCCTGGGCTACAAAGTGAGTTTAAGGCCAGCCTGAACTGCATAGCAAGATCCTGTCTCAAGGGACTGGGGGTTTAGCTCAGCGGCATAAGCGCCTGCCTTGCATTTGCAGTCCTGAGATCGATTCCTAGTACCGATTAAAAAAAAAAAAAAAAAAGATCCTGTCTCAAAAAAAATCTTACTCTCAAAAGCACGTCTACTATCATTGAACACACTGAAAGAGTGTGACACTGCCCCTAAAGGGAAGCATAAATTCTTTTTGCTGTTGTATTATTGAGATAGTTGTGTAGCTCACTAAAATTGTGCTTAAAGGACACCTACTTAATTACATATCCCTTGATTAGATTTTTTTTTTATCAGTACCAGGGATCAAACTCATGACTGCATGCTTGCAAGGCAGGCACTTATGCAGCTGAGCTAAATCCCCAGCCTTGATTAGATTTGATATAATTCAGAATCCTATCTTTATTCAGACCTGGTAGTTATAATTTAGTGAAGTCCAAAGACGTGAATCATTAAAACTTTGACTCACCAGGTAATTTTCAACACAAAGAAAGTTAAAAGTTTCCTTACGATAAAACTTCAGATAAAGCTAGAAAACAGGAGTTAATGCAAAGAGAAAAACAAGTATTTACCACTGTGAACACACAACATTCAGCAGCCTTATGATGGTGTGCATATGACATATTTTATTTTATTTTATTTTATTTTATATGTCTTCATGAGCGTGGAGCGCTACAGTGCCGCGGTCCACGCTGGTCTTTGGCTTGTCTGTGAGTGCTGGCCGACAGACTCCTGCTGTTGGCCTGCGCTTGTTTACCAGCGGACTAAAGACTTTTTGGAAGGCGATAGACGTCACGAAGAATAACTGAAATAATATTTGAAAAGAGCAACTCTCCTGGCTCAGAGAACATGGGACACGGGAGTTCTACAACCAGAAAGCATGCGTTAGAGCAGGGGCCAGAGCCAGGTTTGGTAGGCCCTTGCATTAGCTTCCTAGGACTGTTGTAAAAAAGCTGAATGGCTTAAAACAAAAATGTATTGTCAG